TTTTAAAAGCTTTAACCTAAACCCACAATCCCCCCCAAGTAGGGCAACTATAAAAAACCAAAAAAAAAAAAAAAAAAAAAAAAAAAAAAAAAGATATTTTTCTGCAATTAGATTTGATGCATCTCTTAGTGTTCTAATATTTCTTTTATCTGGGAAAGGTTTTAGTAATGACCTCTTCCTTTTAACCGGGTGCTGTAGCCTGAATCAAAGTCATCTATAAAGCAGACTTGCCTTTCTGGCCTCACGAGAGCAGGGAAGACATAGGTTTGCGCGAGTCCTGATCCTGCCATGTCCCAGAGAGTCTTGCCAGCGAGCATCTAGACATCCGGTCGGGGCAGGAGGCCAAATGAGAGACTGTGGCATCGATGCTGCCTGGTCTCGCATGACCGCGAGCTACTAGCCCAGGGCTCGCCGGGCCGTCTGCTCATGACAGCCGCACAGAGCAGCGATAAGTAGGCGCAGGGCCTCCCCCATCCTCCTTATAAATCAAGAAGGAGGAGGGTGTTGGCATGATGCACCTCCCTTGCTGCTGGTCACCATTCCCAGCTCGTTTCCACTTGCATTTTGGCGTAAACCTCTCTCCGCCAGGGCCGTTTGGTCTCGAGCCTGCCTGCCCGCTTCACAGGCTCCCATCCCCACTGCAGTGAAGGACAGAGGCAGGGAGCCTTGCTGACTGGGGGCAGCCTGCACCAACAGGACTAGCAGGACCGCTGCTTTTGGGGCACGGCTCTGCAGCACGGTCTGTTCGGGAGGCGCTTTGCACTTTGCCCGGCTAACGTCCTGCACTGCCGACCGATGCGATGCAAACCCAGTTAGGTCGGAGCAGGATCGATGCTTTCTGACAGCGGGGTGCAGAGGGCGGAAGTCACGGCTGTGGGTGTGCACCAGGCAGGGAAGGAAAGGAGCAGCATGGTGCCGACACAGCAACGTAAAGCCCTGAGATTTATCACCATTTCCTCCGTCTCAACCCAGGTTATCTTTACCAAGAAATTAAAATATGCAGACAGTTTTGACCTCAACCGGCCCGTGGAAGCAAAGGTGCAGACACTGCTGGAAGGGCCCTGTGCCAATGGATCAGAAGTGCAAAGCGAATGGACTCACGCCAGCTTCCAGCTTCCTGCACAAGGTTAGGAGCGGGCAGCATCCCAGCCTGCGTACGGTTTGCTCGACAGCACACATCTAACCCATCAGTGCTGGACCGAAGATCCCAGTACACAGTCGGTGCTGCCCCAGTAACATTGCATCTCCTGAGCTGCGGCGGACACCGCGTGTCCTGTGCAGCTCCTAGGGCAGGGGCAGATGCTGCTTTTGTTGGGGGGGGAACTGTTCTGTCCTGCGACAATTTGCGAGCGTACAGATGCGCATGGTCTCTGTCAAATGCAGCCAAAATGCATGGGTTAAAGAGTGTGTTGTTCTCTGCTCATGTCGGCCCTTTCTGGGTTAGGAAACTGGTGCTGGCTCTTGCAGCTCAGCCTCGGAGGCTCGGTGCTCTTCCTCTACATCCACTTCTGCCTCTGGGCTTGCTCTGCCCCACTTATGCCCTACAGTTCCCCGCCCATGCAAGTGTACGTTCACCCCCAAAGTAGCAGTCGTGCTCCTTTAGCCTGCACAGTGGCTTTAGCCAGCGTCCCTGAAACCCTCGGCAAAGCCTCCCAGAGCAGACTCAGAAACAGAAGGGCTGGAGATGTGCGACTCCTGGCCTCTTTCAGCGCGTGGTCGAAGTCAATCGATCGCTCTCTTAATGCAACATGCGGAGGTGTTGGAGCCGGGTGGGACTGAGGCCTCCCCTGGGCCCACGAGGATGTTTCTGGCCTCTGCAGGAGTCGTCTCCTTCCCGTTTCACAGGCGCGCTGGAGTCGCGGATCCAGGACTTCCACTGCGTCTACTACGACTGGGAGCATCTTCGCTGTACCTGGCAGCCGGGCCCGCAGGCCCCTCCCGGGGCCCGTTACGAGCTGTATTATTGGTACGTACCATCCCAGCGGGCAAGCACGCGAGTTGGGGTGCTGCGTCCCATCCGTGCCCTGGACAGACGTCCGTCGCTGTCCAAACCATCCTATACAAGGACGCAGTCCGGAGCACCCAGCTGCACCTTCCCGTTACTTGCGGAGCCCAGACACGAGTCTCACGGGAGTCTAGGCCTGTCCGATATGCTAATGCTTGTTCCTCCTCTGCAATCCAGCTCCTCAAAGTCCCTAAAATCTCTCCCGTAAAAGGAGCTGGGCCATGAGGGTGCAGCAATGCCAGCCCTTGGGGGTGGGCTCCATGCCCACCAGCTCCTCCTGCCAGTCCCTTTTACCCTGAACATCCTGGTCCTGGGAAAAAGAAAAAGGTCAGGCTTTTGGTTCGCAACCAAAGTGCAATGCAGAAATGAGCTGCTGACAAGTCAGAGCTTTTAATTTTGTCCTGTAAACTGGACATTGGAGAAAGTTCCCAATTCTTTTTATAGCAGCTACATCATTTTGGCAAAGCTGGTAAAAGCACAAGCTCAGTGAACACACAGTTTCTAAAAACATAATGTTTTAACAGCAGAAAGCCCAAAGGCTTTTTGGAAAATGTAACCCAGGCGTGGAAACAAGTCCTCAGCATAGCAGCTTGCGAGCGGAGCACGGGCTTGGGGGCGGCTGGAGGCGTGCGGGGCAAGGTTGTGACGCCGTCGCCTTTTGGCGCGGGGGCCAGTGGGGAGAGGCCGTGCCCAGCTCGGACAGGCGGCGCCGGGCTGGACGTCGTGCCGGCTGCATTCGGGGGCCAAGGCGTCACAGGCACTGCAGCGTTTCTAGCAGCTCAGTGACCCCCGTCTCACAGCCGCCGCGGCCTGGCACCACCCAAGCAGTCGTCAGGCCCAGACGCTGGCAAAGCCAAGGACGAGAGCTCACGGACGGACCGTGCGTGTCCAGCCCTGACAGCCCGCAGGAGAGCTGGGCAGCTGCACAGCCCGAGCTGTTTTCCATCATGCTCATTTTGTTGCATAAATAAATGACGTCTGCGATGAAGGACCGTGCGTAACAAATGCCTGCAACCTCAAGGGTCTGGTCCGAAGGCCAGGCGAGCCTGGCCAGCCCTGCAGCGCATGGGGCGCTTGTGGGTGCTACCTGACAGCCTCTCCCTCCCGTGCATGTAGGTACGCTGGGCTGGGTGGCCCGGCACAGTGCCACGACTACGTCTGGACGCGGGGGAAGGCCACGGGCTGCCAGCTGTCGAACCTGAGGCAGGCGGAGTACCTGGACATCACCGTCTGCGTGAACGGGTCGGCGGAGCCTGCGCGGCTGCAACCTGCCTACTTCGTCCTCCAGATTAAGAACCTAGGTGAGGTGACCAGCGCGGCCCGGCCGGCGTCACGGCCTGTGGTGCGGGGATGGAGAGGCCGTAGCAGGAGTTTCCAACTCTGCCGATGGCCGTGGACATCCCCCTTGGTAAACCACCTGCTCGTTTGCCCCCACGGTTGCAGGGAGGTACAGGCATCCCCATGCGAGAGGCTTTGGCTTGCACTGTGCAGGGGGTCACACCCTGGCCTCTCAGTGATGGAGGAAAGGGCCGCGGGCAGGTATTGCACGTGCTCGATAGCGGGGGCAGCTCTGACCCAGAAGTTCCTAAACCCCCCGTGCTGGAGGCTGCGGTGGGGTAGTAGGAGGGGGTGGACGGTGCTGGACATGCCCCGTTCACCCTCCCCCTGACGCGGACCTACGGTCTGCCCCAGCCCACGGCAGTTCCCACGTCCGTACGAGAGGACAGTGGTGCCGCGCTGATCCGGTCGGCGGGGCGAGGTCTACCTCCTTGGATCCACGAGGTGATGAACGATAACTGTAACTTTGCCATAACGTGCGTGAAGGATTAAGGATGTACGGTGCTCTGAGCACAAGATGTGCCGAGCCAAGGGAAAATGGCCCGTCTGGAGAAGCAGCTGGTTCACGTCTCTCCTAAGGGCCACGTTCAGAGGAGGGTGTGAGTGTTTCTGCATAATTACCTCTGAGACGTTAATGCTGGTTTAGCAATAGCACGGAGGATGCTGCAGGACACTGTCAGCCTGCCTGCTGCCCTCTGCTTGACCGTTCCTCGCTGTCCTTAGAGAACGGTGCCTGCCCCCCTGGCCGAAGCAGATGAGCATAAGTATGGTAGCATCACATGCGGGGTCAGACCCCAGGGCTGTCTCTGAGCACGGCAAGTTGCAGATGCCTTCAAGGGAAGCAGGACACGTGCTAGGGAGTGTGCATTATCATCCCGCCAGGCCCCTCTAGCCTCATAGTCTGGCTCCGAGAGTGGCAGGAGTGGATTAACAGACCTATCATCCATTAACAGACTTATCATCCAGGAATTTATCCAGTCCCCTTTTGAACCTGGCCGTGCACCTCCTGTGGCAATGAGTTCCACGAGTGAACAACACGTTGCATTTAAAAAAGCACTCCCTCTTGTTAGTTGTAAGTCCGTCTCTTACCTAATTTCGCCTTGCTGCTCGCCGGTCTCACGTGCTTGCCCCTTCCAGTTCAGCTGCAGCAAACTGGATTTCAGAGCAAAGCTCCAGCCGTGGAGTTAAGTTTAACGCTTCTCTCTCTGTGGCCTCTGCTCGGGTCAAGGTCACGGAGCGTGTTTTCATGGGACAAGCAAGCTTCGTAACGAGCTGCCCTGGGGGAACAGGCTGATGGGTTCCCAGGGACTGGACTGATGGCTTATCATTATTCCTTCTAGTAAAACCTCCTCCTCCTGAACGGCTGGTGCTTTCCATGTCTGCTTCCAAGGAAATTCACATGCAGTGGAGCTCTCCCGAAGGAGGAACCCCCCCCGAGTGCCTGGAGTATGAGGTGCAGCTCCAGGGCTCGGGCAGCCACGCGGACGCTGCCTGGTCGGTAGGGATCCCGCTTGCGTCACCCAACAGCAGGCTCCAGTTAGGGAGGGGTAATTAAAGCCAATTCCTGGCTTTCCAGCTGGGCTGGGAACGAGGGTGAATGCTGCAGCTGAACACGTCACCTGGCCCCCATCCTGCATTATTATTTACTCAGCTGGGTGAGGGGATGGTGCATTAGCTGATGCTGATGACGTGCGGTGCAGGACACGGAGGTGGTGTGGGTGCAGCTGGGCATCCTTCCCCTGTGCTGAGAGGTCAATGTCCCACGTGGGATCCTGCTCCATCTGGGTGGCCAAGAGCAGCTGGGGCTCCAGGACAAAGTTATGCTTAATATAGACAAACATTATCACAACGGGGCATGTCCACATGTACGTGTTGCCCTCCAAAGAGGTCCGGTGGCATCGAGCGGCGTATGAGCATGACGGCAGCAACAGACCCTTCCCATGCAGGTCTCTGACACGTCGCTGTGTCCACGGTGCTGCCTATCTTTAAGCAACATTTTCACTGAAATCCCCAGAGCATTTGGTCTGATGAAACCATAGTACTAATTTCTGCAAAGGCCTAGGCAACAACACGTGGACAGCATGCATTGCCTTCTGCATTGCTCACGTGCAGATGCATGCCTTAGCAGATGCTGAGTAGTAGTTCATTTTATGACAGACCCCACTAATTAGCAAGAATAAGTGGTGGGCATGATCTTTCGCATGGCATGAAGACCTTTGTTTTGTTGCTGTCAGTCGTTTCATGCCTTTCATCAGATGACCAGCCTGGGGTTTATCCCCGACCACTTTAAAACCAGAGACGGAGTTCAGGTTTGCAGAAACGCTGGATGGAGCCAGAGCTGAGTGCTGTTACCTGACCTTCCCCTTGTGTCCTCTTGCTTTGCAGTCTGTGTCCACCCAGCTGGAGACTAGCTTTATCTTCTCCCAGGCCAACGGGACTCACTTGTCCTGCGTCCGCGTCCGCGGGAGAACAAACATCTTCTGTGCCGACCAGGGCTTCTGGAGCGACTGGACGCAGGAATGCTTTTATGGTGAGAGACGTGGGTCCTGGCAAAAATCCGTAGTGGTCCCGAGACCTGCAGATCCAGCTCAGAGCTGGTTTTGTGGTGCCGAAGCACATTGTAAATATGGGCTGCGTCACCCTCACCCATCCCCTGCCCCGCTGGGAAGGGGGAACTGCCCTGTTATGGCCACAGAGCCTGGCCTGGAGCAGGGGGTTGCGGCAATTTTGAGCTGGGAGCTCAAACAGCAGAGAACAGAGGAGCGAGGGCTTCCCTGCTCCATGCAAACTTCCTCTTGGTCTCCCCTGTGGCACGAAACCGTTCGCACGAAAGCTGGATGAAAACCAGCGCTAGAGTCGTGACACGTGGTCAAGCTGACTTTGCAGCTGGTTGGCTCTTGTTGTAGCTGGAGAGTTGTTTTTACAGTGTGACAATTTGCACGTGGGGCCGGTCTAAACGTATTGCACGATTTACCAGTTAATTGTGCCATAACGACTTACCACTTGCGGGCAGTCTATATTTACCGTGTGTTGAAGCAGTGCGCTGCGTAATGTATGCAACGTGTAGCGGCAGCCTTAGACATCAATGAGGTTGCCCCACAAGGCAAGGGAGCTCGCCGCTGCTTTGGTTTACCCCCCGAGGCTGCTGCTGCAGGAGCAGGGTAGCAGACTGGGCAGCTGCCACCTTGGAGGACTCCCTTCCCCTACCTGGGAGCCCCTATGCATCACCTGGCCACCTGCACCTGGCTGCGGGGCGTGCAGCGAGGGGCACTTCAGATCACTTGTAACAGGGGGTTATTGCCTTTCTCCCAGACTGGGAAAGGCAGAGTCTGTGCAGGCAGCCAAGGACCTCAGGGCAGGTTGAGCAAGCGAAGCCTCTGAGGAAATAAAAGCTGTGAGGCAGCACTGGTGGAAAACCCCCAGCCCCGGGGCAGTGGCCGGATGAGTGGAGGCATGTAGCAGCCTCGCTGCTGCACCAGGGACTTTGCCCTCCTGACTTTCCTGCCTGCGGTGCACTGCAGAGCTAACTCCCTTCCCTTGAACTCATCCATCATCTGGTGGGTGGAGGCGGAGGCTGCTGGCCACGTCCTGCAGTACACAATAGGACCGTGCCCTCCAGGGCATCTATGGTTGCAAAGGTAGATGGGGAAAGTGAATCAGCCGTCCTTCTGCTCACTGCCTCCCTTCCCTGCGGCCGTCCGCAGCATTGAGGGGAGCTGCCTCGCTCAGTAATGCCGTGTGCAAGCAACGTCCTCCTCCTGTGAACCAAGGCAGGCACAAAGGACTGTAGGGTGAGCAGGGGCAGGCGCATTGCCCAGGGACCCCAGATGGCACTAAGGGCTTCAGCCGACCTGTCCTAAACGGGGGGGGACCAGGCAGGCTGCGTGCCCCCCTGCGTGGCAGGCGCTGAACCCGATACGAGCTCTGTTTGTGCTCGAGTTGGATTCCTGTCTTTATGGAGCTGCCAAGTGTCTGCCCAGGTGGGACAGCGGGCCAGGGTCTGCAGGGCAGCCTTTCCTTTCATTGATCCAACCTCGGCACGATGTCTGGAAGCTGGAAGTCTAAATTCCTTTTGTAAATAGATACTACGGGCCCCACTTCTCCCAGGTCCATAGACGTGAATCCAGACTAACACCAGGCAACTGACACCAGAGCAGCGGTGGGGTCCCTTGCCTTGTGGGGTAACCTTATTAATGCTTTTTTTTATAAAAGCTTCTTTTCCTTATGGAACTGAAGGTGTTGGAGGGTGGGAGGAGGAAGACTCAGCTCAGCAAGTTGCCGGCGTCTGTAGTTTTGCATTAAATAGAGTGCATGTCTGGATACCACGTGGAAGGACTTAAATATCTGGCAACGTTCGTGTAATGCTGCCATGATCCTGTAAGGACAGGTACGGGGATGGGGAACGATGCAGATGTCCAGGTGACCCTGAATCGCCTTGCAGCCAGTGCTCCCCCATCCCCTTGCAAGGCAATGTGACCCCTTTCCGAATGCAAAGATCCCTTCATCGTGCTTTGTGGCTTGTCTTCGCAGTGCCCAGGAAAGACGAAAAGCAGCTATTCATCCTCGTTGCGGTCGTCTTGAGCTTCTTCAGTGTCGTCCTGGTGATCGTCTTTGCTGTGCACCGCAAGAAGAGGTGAGTGCTAAAGCAGCCCTGTGCCCTCAGGCTGTTCTGGTGGGATTGAACGGTTAAAAAGGGAGCAAAGACATATATCTGGTAAGATGCTGCTGAATTTTGCCTCTGCTGGCAGTGATCCAGGAGCAAGTTTGAGCCTGGGAATTGCCTGGAACAAGAGTCTGGCTTCCCAGACCAGCCACAGATACTAAAAATACATATAAATAGTTATCAGTGACCCACTCTGAGGCTCGTCACTGGCTTTATTGGATGCTTAGCAAGATGTGCTTGGCTGTTTCCGAGCAGGCTTGTTCCATAGACGTTCCTGGGAAAACTCACAGGTTTTGAGCTGCAATGACGTCAACTCTGGGGCAGATCCACCTAACGTACATGTTGCACCACCATGAATCGAGACTCTCTCCATCGATTTCAGTTCACCTGCAGAATGAAAGCTCGCACTTTGTCATAGTTTCATAGTTTCTAGGGTCGGAAGGGACCTGAGTAGATCATCTAGTCCGACCCCCGGCCATGGCAGGAAAGAGTACTGGGGTCAAACGACCCCAGCAATGTGTTCATCCAACCTCCTTTTGAAGACCCCCAGGGTAGGAGCCTGCACCACTTCTCTTCGAAGCTGGTTCCAGATCCTAGCTGCCCTGACCGTGAAGTTGCGCCTCCTGATGTCCAACCTAAACCTACCCTCTGCCAGCTTGTGACTGTTATTCCTGGTCACTCCTGGCGGTGCTCGGGGGAACAGTGACTCCCCCAGCGCCTGCTGATCCCCCCTAACCAGTTTATAACAGGCCACTAGATCCCCCCTCAGCCTTCTCTTGTGGAGGCTGAACAGGTTCAGGTCCCGTAGTCTCTCCTCGTAGGACCTGCCCTGCTGCCCCTGACCATGCGAGTGGCCTCCTCTGGACCCTCTCCATGTTGTCCACATCCCTCTTGAAGTGTGGCGCCCAGAACTGGACGCAGTACTCCAGCTGCGGCCT